TATCAACAAACAATATTGGGGAAATACTAAAAAGTATGATTCATCATTTGTCTGAAATCAGATTTAACTAGGTGCCCATGCTTTATCTGGATCCTGCTTCCTGAGGACCGAGCCAAAACCCAGCATCCAGGATCCAGGGACCTGCTCCAAGGCTAGTGATCAGCACTTATGGGAGGGGTGTTAGGAGCCAAAGAAGATGTTAAGACAGAAAGGCAAAGAGGGAAGCTTTGACAATGACCTTATGAGGGCCTGAAGCTGGAAAGAGCAGGTGCCGCCGAATCTAATCATCTCTGGTCACCATAGAAACCAACTATCAAGTCAGCTGGAAAGAGCTGGTGAACATTTACCTCCTGTTCACCCGTATAGACCATCCACATTCCTTTCCCTGTTAGATCCCATCAGGCCTGGTTCTGTTATCTCAGTTTCTCCCCAAGGAGAGAGCTGAGATTTGACACTGCTCTCCTCCTCCCAAACCCCTTCCTCCTCTTTCCAGCCACAGGCTGCCCTGCAACACCCACCCTGTTGGGAGAAATAGGCATCTAGATACTCAGTCCTGTGTGAAAAGAAAACCAGAGCCAGACATCAGTTGCAGTGATAAAAACAGATTCTATTCAGGACTATTCCAAAAGGGGGAAGAGACCTCAGGATAGAACAAGACTTGATTCCAGATACAGCTTGGGCAAGTGGGAATTTATGTAGCTAGCAGCAGGGTCGGCGGGGGAGGTCACTGGATGGAAAATTACTAAGAGAAAACATCAAGGGTGAGGGGGATTCTGGCTAAGCCGACTTAACCGGATTCTTGCTGAAGACAGGCCAGGGTAATCAGACATGCCCCGGGGGTGGTGGAGGATGAGAAACTGAACCAGACAGCCGCGATGATGAGATATGGAGGGTCAGAGCATTCCTTCAATTGACTTAGCAGGGTTCTTCATAAAACTAGATTTTCTAAGAAAGTGCACAGATGGACCTAGGAGAAGGTTCGAGAGCCTGATTAAGGTTTGGTCACCTGCCCACGAGAAGGGCACCTTCTAGCAGGGAGACAGGCTACACAAGATGGAAACAGCCCAAGGACACATAGCAAAAACTTATTCAAATCAAAACACGTCTGTCCACATATCACTATTCTTCCTGGAGTAAAATAACTCTCTTAATCGAAAATGTGATTAAATTGATTGGGAAAGTGTTCAATCTTTCAGACAAGCCACAGGCCGGCAGTAAGCTGTGAATACAAATGCAGGAGCTCGCAGTGATGCATTTGATTTGACTCTGGGAATGAGTGGCTCTTTGGAGGTAGCATGCAGATTTGTTCAAAATGTCCCAGACTTGGGGAGAAAAGACCCAGAGTTTGGATCGTGTGCTTATGCAAATCATGAGAAGTGTCTTTTAATACACAGCCTAAGATCCTTCTCGGAACCTACCTCTCTGTTACACGGGCCCTGACCTCACAGCAACTGAACTAGCTCTCCCTATGCCTGCCGCTACACTCCCACATCTGCCCTCCTTCCCTTTGCGCAACAAGCTGAGAAGGTTATTGCTCCCATTCTACAGACAGGAAAGTAGGGCTCTGAGTGATTAAGCAACCGAACCCAGCCCCTCTGCTCTAAGTGGCAGATCCAGTCTCTCTCTTCCCTAGTCTGGGACAATTTGCACACATGTCATTCGACTCCTGAAGATTCTACACTCCTAGGGGTACATGAAAAAATTCCTCTCTCTACCCACCACTCCATCCACACATGGGAATTCTGTGGCTCTGGCACCCCTAACGCTAAGTAAATTTCCTCCCTTTGCTGAAAATATGCTACATTTGCTCCCATCCATGTGACTCTGAGTGATCTTTGGGCAAGCTGTAGTCTTTAATCAGAACAATCAAAATTGAGCAGTTAGGTGACAATCACTCCTCTGAAGACCAAGATCACCATACAAAGAAGGCTGGCCCACCTTTGACTTTGTAAAGGTTCAGAAAGGAAGAGAGGAGGCCCCGGAGGCCCCCCAGAATCTCCCTGCCCCACCTTACCTTACCCATGGTCTCCACTGTCCCCAGCCACCAAAGTCCTCACTGGCTTCCCTGGACAGAATCCTCAAGGACACCAGATCTCCTCAGGAATTTAAGAGGGCAGACATCCAGGCCAAGTACAAAATATTAACATTTGTGTTGTTTTGGGGACATGTTATGTAACCCAGGAAATCAGGACTACCAAAATTATGAGACAAATTTGGTTCCAACATATACCCTAAGCTCTATCCTTGAATCTCATCAAGTAACAATCTGAAGGATGTTTGCAAAGCCTGCGTGTGAACATTTGTCAACTGAAAAAAAAAAACGCACAACCTAAAAGTTGACAGTTATATTTTATTCGATGATCTTAGAAGTATAGCCGAGGAATCAGCCTCTCAGATAGTTCCGAGGAACTGTTTCTAAGAGGTAAGGAAGGGGCCAGGATATACAGGAGGTTTTGTTGGGGGAAAAAAAATGTGGTTGAACATTAAGACTACTGCTAAATCACACACACACAAACAAAACAGGCATCTCAAGTTAATGATTTCAGTGCTTTTCTTCATACGGAGAGATGCAAGAGTTGGCTTATTGAAATTATTCCTTCGATATGCACCTTAACTATCTAGGGTCAGTATCCAGTTTTTCTCCATCCTAAATCCCCTCAGGAGGGCAGCTTCAGTGGCTGATGGCTTTAAGGACATCAGCCTTTGTTTACTGAAACGGCAGGCGACATTCTTTGTCCACTATATCCACCCTGATTCCTCTCTAATTTCTCAGAATTCCTGAGTCTCCTGAGGCCCCATGCCTTGCTGTTAATGGAGGACAGTAATGTCAACCCTGCTTTTCACCTGGAAAGTGCAGTCTAGCGAGGCTGGCAGACACCTGGACCTCCATTATAGGTCACTCCCCAGTGTGAGGGCTGGCTGGCCACCGCTGTGTGTCTGCATGGTTGTTTCTGCCCAGAACGACCCTCTTCTCTACCTGGAGCAGTCCTGCTCCTCCTTCAAGCCCCTCCTCATATCTCCCCTGAATTCCAGCACACGGGGTTCCTGTAAGAACTGAGGTCACAGAGATCAAGCTCCTAGCACAGAAGGACACAGACAGAGTGCCTGATCCAGAATGGCTCTGACCGTCACTGTCATGCCCTTGCTCCCACCCTCATGAGGAACCCACCCGTTTCCCAACTCCTTCTGCCTCTTACACATCCTCACCTGGCTGCGTGGTTACAGGTGAGCTCACTCCTCTCCTCCACAGAATCCCGAACTCCTTGAGGGCAGGGACCTTGTCCTGCTTGTCTTTGGGGTCCCATTCTTGGCTCTGGGCCTGGCACTTAGTGGACTCCATATGTATTTGCCAATAAATTCTTCTGTCTCCTGGGCTCCAGAGACAGCAGTCTGATGAATGGTCAGAACATCATGATAAATTAAAATTTATTTTATGATGTGGCTTTGGAGACAGACAAAGACTGTGCTGCTAGTGACATCATGTCGGGCTGGTGACACCACTAATCATCAGTAATGTTTATTTCAGGACAGTGCCCTTGGCTTGGACACATGTGGGGAAAATGGTCCAGAGCCCCACTGAGTGTGTCACTGTGCTGTATGAAGTGCCTCCGATCGGGGTGGGGCTATGCAGCTGGTGTGGACCCTGTCGGTCTGTTCCTCAGGACAGAAGCTGTGTTTCATTCATCTCTACAGGCCCCAGTGTCTCAGTCAATATTTTTGCATAACTGAATTAATTCCTTTATAAGAAATTAGTGGTGTTGTTGAGGATAAGAAACTTGGAAGAAACCTCTTTCTGAGTCTCTCAACTCCCCACTGAGTGACAAGAACAGGCTACATTGTTAGAAAGTTCCTGGATGGTCTGTGGGTCCCAGACACTCTCCACGCCCACTCATAACTCTGTGCCACACACTGCCATTCCCCCTCTGGGACAGCCCTTCCTCTGTCTATCCTGTAACCTCCATTTTTGTCCAGAACCCCACTTATACACCTTCTCTGTCAAGTCTTCCTGCAATAAAAGGGTCTGGTCCAGTCCCTTGAGGGTGTTTCTGATTCAACGCTGGTCATTTTCATAAGGTGAAGGCAGTGTTAGGGCAAGCAGGAGGAGTTGACAGGCAGGCCCCATCCAGCCCTGCACCCCCAGCAACAAGATTTGCAATAATGGGGAAATGTGCTCACTGTGTCTGAAGCAGGTCCTCCAAGGGCTGGTGCTCCAGCCTGTGGTGACAGGACATGGGGTGCAGACTAGAGACCTAGCGATGAGGATAGAGGACAGCTGAGGGCTGAGAACTAGGAGTAGGATTTTAAAGCCTGAAAGCCTCTGCACACAAACCTGGGTCTTTCTGCTGTGGATGCTTCTCAGCAGCATCAGGGAATCCCAGAAGGAGCGGTGGGGTGAGCTTGGTGGAGGGGCTGAGCAGAAGCCACAGATTTAGGGGAAACTGAAGAATCTGCGTGCAAACCTCCGCTCCATCACTCACTAGTGTGATCATAAGCAAATCCCTTGGCTTCTCTCAATTAAGATGTTTTCCTTAGTTATAAAATGGTCTCCCAGGGAGCAGGAACTAGAGTCCTACTTTTCTGGAAGATATGGGCAACACGTGGGTTGGAGTCTCTAGGGACACGTCCCAGGCCTCCCAGTAGTTCCCCCAAGTACCCTGTAGAGAGGAGATTCCCACGCTGGATGTTTCTACTTTGTGGTTCGCCTCTGACATTTTTCAGCTCTATCTCTCTAAAGGGTCTACAAAACGCTCTAATATCCACGATGTATTCACACTGCATCGTCCCATCAGCCCTTTATGCAGATGGGGGGCCTGGTTCCGTGACTTGCCATGGTCACCCTGTGGGTATCAGCGCTCCCTGGCTCCAGGCTTGAACAGCACTGGCACCGCAACTCTTTTGAGCTCAGAAACCGAGGCGCTGCCCCCTCCCTGGGGGCGGAGCGAGCCAGGGCGGGGCGGGTCCTTGTGGTCCACGTGACTCCCGGCCCGGAAGCGCTCGTGCCGGAGACCCCCCGGTGACCAGGTCGGGAGCTACGACCACCAGCGAGCGCGGAGGTTGCGGGGGTCCCTCTGGTTTCGTGTCCCCCCCGTCGCCCCCATGGCCTGGACCAAGTACCAGCTGTTCTTGGCCGGGCTCATGCTCGTCACCGGCTCCATCAACACGCTCTCGGCAAAGTGAGTCCGGGCCTGGCCGGGAGGGGAGGAGGCTCGGCCGGGCCTTCGGCGGCCCGCGGGAGCTCTGGGGACCCCTGCCACCTTCCGCTCCCTGCCTCTTCTCGGTTCTCTTTTCTTGGCTTCACCAGCCAGCCTAGTTTCTCTGATTGGTTCACGCGGTTTATGGACCACCCAAGAGGTGCGAGGCCCCGGGAATGCGGAACGAGGCCTTGTCCCCCGCTGGAGGATCCAAGCCCCAGCTCTGATTGTGTGCTTGATCCCAACGAGTCATTTCCCGACTCTGCGCCTCGATTTCCTCATGCTTAAACTGGAGGGAGTTCCCTTCCGTGTCCCCTTACAAGCATGCATCAGGAGCCCTGCTCTCCAGGAGCTGTGGACCGGGGAGGGCTACAACAGCTGCCCAGCGGGCCGAGTGACCAGTGAGGGTGGAGGGCTGCAATGACGGAGAAGGAGGTGCCCATGGGCCCCTCTTGGAGGAAGGGTTAGGGCTGGGCCTTGAAGCTTCAGTAGGATTTCTACATGTGGTGAGGACATCGAGGCAGGAGAACAGCAAAGCCAGATCAAATTGAATTGTAACTAGCACCAAATGCCCAGCCTGGATCTCATCCTGTTATCAAAGAGAGTCTTTTGAGCCTGGGAGTGACATGTTAAAAGTGATGATGAACCTGGTGGTCAAGGTGAAGAGTAGTTTTGTGCAGGGAAAAGCACTCCAAGGCTGCTGCATAGCAAATGAGGGGAACCAGGAGTTAACAGTGAGTTGGGAAGGGAAGGGGCAGGTGGGAGAGACCAGGTGCAGAATGAAGCCACAAGGCCTGACCCACGGAATCAAATAATCACTCCTGGCCTTCTGCCTGGGAGAACAGAAGTGTCATTAAACCAGACAGGGATGGTAGGGGGGCAGTTCAGCTCCAATGTAAGAGGGTGAGGTGCTTGTGGGACAGTGAGGACAGTCCTCAGGAGGTTGGGCGATATGTGAGGCACTGTCTGAACTCAGGGAAGGAGACAGAAGTGACCAAGAGAAGGTCCTCAGGAGGTTGGGACTGCCTCTAACGTGCTTAAAACCTGCCATGGAGGAGCCAGATGTGTACATGCGTGACAATCACAGTGTCCTCCCTTTTCCACAGGAAGTGGAGCTCTGGGTGGGGCCTTTCTGGTTGGGCTCTGGCCAACTGCGTCTGTGTCTGGTGCTGGGCTCCTGGGCCCTGAGGCTTCCTTCGGCTGAGCCCTCAGCTGTAAAGGCTCCCATCTCAGTTAGGATCTGAATGCAGCAGAATGAATCATCTGTCCATCTGTCCCACAAGCCAAGACCTCAGTCTGGTCCTTATAGGGTGGCAGTGGTCTGCCAGCGCTGCCATCCCCAAAGAGAGCTGAAATTGCCAGTTACTAGTGGGGTGAACTGTGCTGATTCAGCTCCTTACTTAAAAAGCTCCAAGCGGGTCAGGTAAGAAGCCAGGGGATCCTCAGCCCCAGGAGGCCTTGCCCTTGGAGGCTGCCTGAGAGGCCAGAAAGAGGCTTCCAGGTGGAGACCCCACCTTTGGTCCTGTTCCCTGCCCTGCGACCTGACATGGGGCCTCTCAGGAACCTCCCTACCTGTGATGGGCCCCAGCACTGGAGCCTCAACAGTCTGAGGCCAGACTCTGAAAAGGACGCTCTCAGAGAAAGGGCATGGGAGAGCAGCTGTGTACATCCTGATGGGAATTATTGATTTGCAGTCACTCTGACCTGCAGTTTCTGGCAGGGACAGACAGACAGACAGAAATGTGACCACAGCAAGTGCTGACTGGCTAATGCACAGAGAGCTCCAGGTGCCCAGTCCTGCCCTGGCTGTCTTTCATGAGTTAATTTAATGAATTCTCATAACCACCCTATGAGATGGATGAACGTATCCAGTTGTCCCTGGATGAGGAAACTGAGGTCTGGAAAGATGGACTTGCTTACCCAAGTTCAACTCAGCTATTGAGTGGCAAAGTTTATATTTGAGCCTAAGTAGTCTGGCTCTAGAATCCATGCTCTTAGCCTCCAATATGGATGAGGCTGGGGACTTCTGTCGTCATTCTTGGGGGCATTTAGAGTCGTTAGAAACAGAAATCATCGATTCTAATCCCCACAATTTACAGTCAAGGTCCCAAGAAAAGTTTGTGTGTGTGACTCAGCTGGTTGGTGCCCAGACCTAGGTGTCAGCATTTTAGTCCAGTCCTGTTCTTTTACAGCTGCAGTGCCCCCCATCCCTCTTCCTTGGGGGTTTCCTCTTACATCTCCCCAGACAAGAACAGACAAGCATGTGCCCATGGAAGCTGCAATCCTATAGTGGCATCTCCCCTCCCTGCCATCGGAGCGCCTTCCCTCTGGGACTGGGTGGCAAACACCTGAAGCTCTGTCCCAGCCCAGGAGATCATGCTATTGCTCAGTTTCCGCCGCTGGAGCCAGAGGTCACTCAGGGTTCAGGTTTAGAGCCTCTAGTAGCCTCTTGCAGTTTCTTGGCCTGTAGTATGAGCATAACTTTCCCTCCCCGGGTTCTTGGGACGGCTGAAGACAGCAGATGAGGAAGTGGGCATGAGCACGTGCTGCCCACTCTGCTGGGACCACAGGTCATCTCTCTGCTGTAGGAGGTCACTGTCCACTCAGCAGGGTGGCTGTGCTGCAGGGAGACTGCCTGCCTTGGCTGGGGCCGGGGCCGGGGCTGGGGCTCACCTACTCACAAGAGGGAAAGCCACCAGGCAGGCTGGCCCTTTAGCCCTGTGCCTGGGTCTTGGCAGAGGGACCCTTCCTGTGGAGCAGCTCCTTTCAGTGGGTGCCTCCTCGCCCCCACCAGGCCTTCTGCTGATGCACCTGATGGAGACCAAACATTTTGCCCTCCTGTGGCACTGCTTAGCGCTGTCTGCCTGAACCAGGCCCATTTCACAGCCCCCTTCTCCAGAATCCAGCTGGGGGTTCTGCATGGAAAGAGCAAGGGTCAGGTGGCCACTCACTCAGTAAGGCTCAGATCCCGTCCCTCCTAAACTTCTGCAGTCTGTGAAGCCCACCCAGCCAGCAAGGAGTCATGGGGGTCTCTTCTCCAACAGTCAGGCCTGCTGGGTCCAGGGACCCTTCCAGGAAGGTGACGAGAGGCCTGGGATCACTGGGCCTCCATTAGGGAAGGACTCTCACTGTGCCTTCTGTGCTAGCTCTAACATTTGCCTTGGCAGCTGCCCCTTCCCCCAGCCTTAGGTTTCATGAGCTGGGTTGGGATAGTTGCTTCAAAGGGATTCAGGCCAGCTGGAGAAAGCCTTAAGTCAGGAAGGCAGTGTAGTAGTAGAAGGAGCTTGAGGCTTAGAAGCTGTGGGATTAGATGAGTCATTGGGCATCTCCAAGCCTCATCTGTAAAATGGGCTGATAATACCTGCCACACCTTCTTCCTGGATACAGTGTAAGCTCTACTGAGGGTTTCCTAATACTTAGGAGATGAGAGGGCTTGTCATCATTTATCATCACATGAGCCCAGGCCACTTGCTGTGACATCGAAGCCCCAGGGCACTTCTGAAGATCCCAGGCAGGAGAGAAAAGCTGACTCATTGGGACTGACAGTCTCCGGATGTGAAAGGAAATGGCACAGATTCTGCAGAGAATGGATACACAGCTAATCAGTCCGAGGCAGCTACATCAGCCACTTCCTCAGTCTCTGTCCGCCACCTCGGCCCACACATAGATGCACACAACTCTCAGAATGCTGAGCTTTGAGTTTGGCTGGGCAAGGCCACGTGAGGCTGACTCACACACACACCACACACACACAATACCCCACCCCTAACCCCGGCAAGGGTCACCACCCATCACCCTCTGAGGCCTACTGGCCTCCTGCCCAAGAGACCATGGCTTTTCCCAGGATACAATGTCTAGAGAGAGTGGAGGGCCCATCTGCAGGGCTGACCTCCCCACCTCAGCCAGGAGAGCGGGAAGAGCCTGGAATAAGAAGATGATATGTGTTGAGGAAACTTGGAACTGGAGGTGCAGGCTTCTGGGTATAGTGCTTCCCTGTATCCCTCATGCCTTCTCTGGCCCCTGGGTTTCTCATCTGTCAAATAAGGAGCTTCCTGAGACCATGGCTGAGTGTGTTCTCCTATTTCAGCACTTTGCGGCTCTAGGGAACCACAGGGTGGGTCCGAGAGGATAGATGCTCTCCCAGAAGCTTTCAGGCTGGAGCAGAGCTGGGGCCGTGCCCACGCAACACACAGGGCGATGGCTCCTGCTCAACAGAGGAGACAGGGAGAAAGGACAGAAACGAACTTTCACTGACTACCTTCATGTGCCAGGTCTTACATGTCTCATTTATTACATTTGCCAATTCATCAGTATTGGCATTATTATCCCCATTTTATAGGTGAGAAAACTATAACTCATCCAACCTATGAAACTCAAAAGTCTGAGTTTTCTGTGTCTCCTGCTGCCTTTTCTGAAAATAAATTCAAGCAGATGGGTTTGGCCCAGCATCTGCCTATTGTTAACTATATGAGCCTGAACTTGGCTCTCTCCACCCCTCCACCCTGAGGCTGGTTGTGAGGCTTAAACCACACGACCCACATTAAGTGTACAGCACAGGCTTGGTACAAAGTCAATACTCAAGGAGTTGAACATTTGTAAAAAAAAAAAAAACATGTTAATGGAGCATTTTGCAAAGACACAAGTGCTATCCCACTGGGGTGGGGTGGGGGGAGGGGGTCATTGCTGTCATCCCCAGATAAACTGGTGCTGGATTTTGGGTCTTGTTCTGTGGTACGTGGGATCCTTCTGTGATTGCACAGTGAACCAAAGCCTTTCCCAGGGCCAGAATGAGAAGCCTGATTCTATCCCAAAGTGACTGCAGGCCTGAACTCCTCCCTGGCCAGAGGCTGGGCAGGGCAGCCTGTCCTGACACCCAATTCCTGGGGCTGTAAACCTGCCCCAGTCCCTCAGATACAAAAAGATTCCATTTCCCTTGCTGGGAACTTGCCAGCCGCAGCCTGTTCAGGCAGACCCAACCCTTGGAGAAAGCAAAGACAGCCCTGAGGGAGGGGAGGAAGCTCAGCCCTCTAGCCAGCTCCCCTGCCTCCCTAGGGAAGGACAGACCCAGCTGGTCCTACCAGCAGGGGGCGCCTCAGACCAGGTGGGAAATTAGGAGACATTGCGTATGGACTGTAGTACCTGCCTAAAATTTGTCCAGTGGGGTCTGGAGGTCCCAATCACTCAACAGAAAAATGTTTGCGCTTCTGTATGATAGTGTGCCTGGAGCAGGGGATTGAGAGATGGGGAAGCTGCTGCATGCTGAGCTCACACCCTCTCAAGTGACAATGACTGTGGAACCAGAAAGTGTTACAGATGTGCGTTGTCATGATTGTAAAGTGCGTAGGCAGGAGCCCAGGGGGATCCAGGAGGTGGCCCCACTGCTAGATCAGGGGTCTTCTTGAGCCAGCCAGTCTGTGCTTTGGCTGTGGCCCCAGGATGAGGAAAGGGCTTCCACACCAGCCCTTGCCCCAAGCTTCTGGTTGACCTTCGTGAACTTGGCAGGACCTGCCTTGTCCCTCCTAGAGGAGCCCTGGGAACTAGCTCTCTGACCTGCCCTCGCTCCAGGGCAGTTATTTCTGTGCCCTTGGTAAAGCTTGACCTCTTCCCTCTTCCTCAGTTCTCTCTGTTTTGCTCAGTTGTTTCACCCAGACCCTCTCTGAAGGCTCCGTCTGTAAAAGGGAGTCTGGGCCGGAGAGCAGATCAGCCTATGTGAGCCACGCCATTGGCATGTGGTCCTCACCCAGCTCCCCTGTCCTGTCCTGCCCCACTAGCCGAGAGCCAGAACTAAGCAGGATGTCCAGCAAGAGGGAGGGGCCTCCGTCTTGCCAGCCTCCATCTGGACCAGATTACCTGCCCTTGGCTGTGGGCCTGGGCCCACCATAGCACGTCCAGAAGTCAACACCCACGGGAGTGAAGGGTTAGCAACGACTGAGGCTGCTTACCCAGCAGAGGAGCAAATTTGAAGGTGAAAACCTCTCTAAATATCTGACAGGCTTTCAAATGAAAGAGAGATTCGATCCCAGGGACATAACTAATGTCAGCCAAAATTCAGGGGGCAGGAGCTTGAGTGCAGACGCTGGTCAGTGCAGAAGGGCTGGTGGTAGCTGCCCAGAGCAGGGCCCAGGCGGGGTCCAGGCTCGGCAGGGAAGCATGCCATCTGCTGGGGCGCTGGCTGGCAGGCCGCTCCACAAGTGCCGTGTGCTTGCCACCTGCTTCAGAGCCAGTGCTAGAAAAACCCTCCAGATCCTTCGGGTTATGTGAAGGTGACCGGGTGGTCTGTGGCAGGCAGTCATTTCCCAGGACTTCCGTGACCTTGTAGACCAGGGACTTGATGTTTTTGAGCCATTGTTCCCTTTGTAGCCTGGTGAAGCTTAGAGTAGTGTTTTTAAATGTGCACATAAAAGACCAAGAATTACAGAAAAAGGCAATTATGTTGAAATAAAGTTATCAAAACTAAAAAAAGCCAGTTTGTGATATCGGAGTGTGCATGTGTGTGCACGTGCATTTCTTAACCCATGAAATTATAAGCATTGGGTCTAATTACTGTAATTTTGGAGTAGTGATAACTGTAAATGATGACTTCACAGTTTCTACAGGGACTCTAATGTGATCATGACAATAGCTGTGATTTCCACATGTGACAAAGTTGCAGGGACCATAATACTACCTTCATAATTTGAGGAAATGCACAATTTCTGTTGCAGGTTCATGAAATTTCAGCTAAAGTTTCCCAGGCCCCCACATTCTGTCCACAATCTCAGATGAAAGCTCCTTGTCATGGAGACTGGCCCCTTGGAGAGGGAGCCCCACTCCAGGCAGAATCCCCTGAGTCTGGCCTCTTAGCCTTGCGAGGAGTGAGCTCACCGCAGGCCCCAGGACCAGGTAGGAGGGTTTGACCTCCTCTCTCTCTGCTGCAGGTGGGCAGACAACTTTGTGGCCCCAGGCTGTGGAGGGAGCAAGGAACACAGCTTCCAGCATCCTTTTCTCCAGGTATCTGTCCCTGACTTTCCTACCTCCCGACTCCCAGGCTTACAGGACAGGTGCCCCATAAGGCCCTGCTGTCTCCTGACCTAGGGGTGGAGTGCCTGGGAGCCACTCGCTTCTCTCTTTCCCGTCTCAGAGCAGAGGCCGGGTATGCAGTGCCCCCGGATGGGAGCAAAGGGCACTGTCCCCTGTAGGAGGCTTGCACAAGTCCTGGTGAGCGGTCACGCCCTGGGCACCGTGAGGCCAACCCTCACCATGGCCAAGTCAGGACGCATTTGGAAAAATCAAGCCCCGTGTAAAACCTGCTCTCCAATTCCAGGGAGCCCAGACCCCCCTGGGACAGGGCAGACACCATAAATGGAAGATGCCTTATTGCTAGACTGGAAAGTGAGAGACTCAGATTTTAGCTTCAGCTTTGACAACAACTTGATTTGTAACCTAAAATAATTTCTTGACCCTCTCGGGCCTTGATTTCTCCACCTGGAACTTGAGCAGGGATTGGCCCAGATTGGTAGTTTTTCAGACCAGGCTGTCTGCAGCCTGAGGGTCCCATTGAGATGTTTGACACAGCAGTTCTGCCTTTGTCTGTTTTACGTGTTGGGGTTATAGATAAACTCTTGTTTAAAGAAAGGTTGTGTTTTAAAAATTTTCTTCTGGGTGGTCACCCTTCTGGCTCTGAACTCCTATGGTTCTGTCCCTGCAGGCAGTGGGCATGTTCCTGGGGGAGTTCTCCTGCCTGGCTGCCTTCTACCTGCTCCAGTGCAGGCTAGCAGGGACCCCAGACCCCAGCACCGACCCCCAGCAGCCCTTCAACCCCCTCCTCTTCCTGCCCCCAGCCCTCTGCGACATGACTGGGACCAGCATCATGTATGTGGGTGAGTAGCCAGGCCAGGCTGCGAAGGGCTCAGTGAAGCCTGTGGCCCATGGGGGCTGCTGGGGAAAGAGCCACCCCTACCCCCAGAGCATCTTCAGTACCCCTGCCCCTCCCTACTGACCTTTACACACACACACACACACCCATCCAGGATTTATTGAGTACTTACTATGTGCCAGGCACGTCTTCAGCCCTGAGGACACCTCAGGGAACAGACAAGCTTGGCCCTCAGGAACTAATGTTGCGCGTCTCTCCTCTCCTAGCGCTGAACATGACCAGTGCCTCCAGCTTCCAGATGCTGCGGGGAGCCGTGATCATATTCACTGGCCTCTTTTCAGTGGCCTTCCTGGGACGAAGACTGGTGCTGAGCCAGTGGCTGGGCATCCTGGTAACCATCGCGGGGCTGGTGGTCGTGGGCCTGGCTGACCTTCTGAGCAAGCACGATGGGCAGCACAAGCTCAGCGAAGTGATCACAGGTGTGGCCGGGGTTGGAGGTCCCACTGGGCTGCCCAAGAGTCACTACCAAACTTTTACAAGCACTGCCGTACACCAAGCCCTGGGGGAGGGTGTGGCGGGCACCAGCTGATGCAGACATGCACCTGCTCTTGAGGTGATGGAAAGAGTGTAGGGAGGAGCAGAGCGGGGCCGGCAGCAGGAGGGAGGAGTACATAAGGAGCAGGGAGGTCAGAGGAGGGAGCGGGCTTGTGCTGCGATATACTTTCAGCCGCACAAACTGCTGGATCTGGGAGAGGACAAGAATGCAGAGTGAGTACTTCCCAAAGGCCCACCCCCTGCTGCCCGCTGTGTGCTTGTCATCACAGCCATCCCCACCATCCCAGAAAAGCAGCCTTGCAGCCCTTTTTACAGTGAAGTGACCACCCTAGTTGCCCAGAGGCAGGATTAAACCCGAAATGTCCATCTGAAAGCCTGTCACTTTTCAAAAGATCTGCTTACTCCATTGTGCAGCTCTCAAGCTCAGACAGGTCCCCGGACCTTCTGGAACCTCAGCCCTGAGTGGGTGATAGTGCCTGCCCTGCTGGCCTGCCCCACCCCCCAAGGGCTGGGAGATCAGGTGCCAGGTTTTCATGACCTGGCCTCATGGACTGTATGGTGCCCTATAGAGTCAGGGGCTTCGGGTGCTATATGTCCCTGTGGGAGCTGTCTCCCTCAGCCCTGGGCCTGCCGCCCTGCCTCCCAACCCTGGTGCAGCCCAGGCCTCACCCTGGGCCCCTTCTTTCCCATAGGGGACCTGCTGATCATTATGGCCCAGATCATCGTCTCCATCCAGATGGTGCTAGAGGAGAAGTTCGTCTACAAGCACAATGTGCACCCACTGCGGGCAGTTGGCACTGAGGGTGTGTGAGCACATGGGCTGGCGGGAGGGCACTGGGTCGGGGCTCGCACTGCAGGGTAGCACGTGGGGTGAATGCACAAGTAGGGTTGCAGGGCAAGGTGCTGGGGACCTCTGGGTGGGGTGAGCCTCCTGCCCCCCTTCCTTCCTCTCTTCACCATGTATGTGTTGACAAACACTCTGACACCTGCTGTGCACGCAGCCAGGAGCTAAGGGAGGACGAGGACAATGATAAATGAGATGCAAGTCCCACTCTAGAGAAATTGACCAGCAAGAAGGACTAGGCAGTGCATTTTAGCTCAGACCATTTTTGCTTAAGTGACACTTTTGCCAAGCATACCTGAGTGTCTTGGCACAGTGAGGGTGGCATTCGAGCTGCACAGTTTAACAGGCAACAGTGGGAAGGAGGGAACTCCAGCCAGAGAGAAGACATGGGGAGCTGGACATGGACTTGGAAACCATTGAGGAAAAGATTGGGTGAGATACAGGTTTGATGTTGGGGAAATGACCAGGAATTGAGTATGTCCAGGTCATATCATAGAGAACCTTGAACATCAGACTAGTGGATTTAAACTTTAAATGACAGGTAGGGAAGAACCATCAAAGGTTTTTGAGCAGGGAAGTAAATCAAAATTATGCTTAAAAAAATATGTAACTAGCAGGGTGGATTAGAGCAGTGCTACCAACGTGTGACCGATGTACCAGTCAGGGAGCTGTTTGTGCCTGGCCCACTATGAACGGAGGGCAGAATGTTAACCAAGTCAGCTGCATCATCGAGCACACTGATTATTTCCCCTCATTTTTTTCCCTAGCAAGACTTTCTGAATGAAGCAGTACATTGATTTACATTCTGGCCCAACTCTTTGTCACAGACCAGTGGCACTAAATTAGCTACATTTTTCCACTTGGGAGAGCCATGTTGTGGTTGCCACCAGCAATCCTTTTGTAAATGAAAAGAATAGAATTTATAAGTGTCAGAGAGCATTGTAAATCGTAAGGGTAGCTATTTTGTGAAAGTGTGTGTACATGTCTGTGCGCACGTATACTGGTCATAGATAAAATGTATTTCTTATTTTGGGTCCAGTAAGAAAAATGTGGATGAAAGTGAATTTGGGGCTGCCAGAGCCCAGTCTGTGGGCCACTATGAGTTCCTGATAAGCAAGACGGCTCCAGGATCTGAAAGGAAGGGGCTGGAGTGAGGGCCTCTAGGAAGGGGTGGCCAGGAGATCAGCGGACTTGCTGGGCAGAACGTGCTGGGAGGCTGGGGGCCCAGCAGAGAGTGTGACATGCTTGCCCCCCTCCCGCAGGCCTCTTTGGCTTCGTGATCCTCTCCCTGCTGCTGGTGCCCATGTACTACATCCCTGCCGGCTCCTTCAGCGGAAGCCCTCGCGGGACACTGGAGGATGCACTGGACGCCTTCTGCCAGGTGGGCCACCAGCCGCTCATCGCCCTGGCGCTGCTGGGCAACATCAGCAGCATTGCCTTCTTCAACTTTGCGGGCATCAGCGTCACCAAGGAACTGAGTGCCACCACCCGAATGGTGCTGGACAGCCTGCGGACCATTGTCATCTGGGCAGTGAGCCTGGCGCTGGGTTGGGAGGCCTTCCACCCACTGCAGATCCTCGGCTTCCTCATCCTCCTGACCGGCACCGCCCTCTACAACGGGCTGCACCGCCCGCTGCTGACCCGCCTGGGCAGGGGCCGGCCCCCCATGGAGGAGGGTGAGCATGAGAGACTGCTGGGGGGCTCCCGGACTCCCATCAACGATGGCAGCTGAGCTTCCTGTGGGATCTCTGCTGCCCCAGGACACTCCTTGCTCACCCTGAGGCTGAGGCCACATGGGCTGGTGAACCCCAAGTGCCCTGTCCCCCAGGCCTCACCCTGCCCCTCCCCAAAGACCCCCAGGGCAGCTGCTGCCACAGAAAACATAACACCCAGGTCCTCCTTTGTCACCACCACCTGCTGAAAAGTGTTACCCAGCCCCGACAGGCCTGAGTGCAGTGACCCACCCCCCACCAGGCTCCCCCAGCCCCTGAGTCCCCTCCTGCAACACTGGAGCTGAAACATGAAGCAGAATCACAGGAACCAACAACTCTAGGGCCTCCCAAATCATAAGTTGAATGTGGTTCTCCCAAGGAAAGAGGTCAGTGAGCAAATTCAAACAGAACTAAGCGCCGTATTTTCTAAAACTTGTAAGATATTCCCTGACCCTGTCCGGAGGCCTTGCTTTCAGCCATTGCCTTGTTGCAGACTTAGTGTGTGTGCTCCCTGGCCATGTACGAGTCGCTCTGGGCCTTGCTGTCCTGCTCTGTAAAGCAGAAGGTGTTGATGGTGTGGCTTCAGTGCCTTCCAGCCCAGCTGGGCCCATTCTGTGGGCCTGTGGTTTTGACAAACCCGAGGAAGGAGTAACAGCCCATTTATTGGAAATGCCCCCCGCCCACGGTGTTCTCCCCTCACCTGCTTTGGCGAACTTGCTCACACACTCAAGGCCTCCTGACCTGGGGGAGATTACAAGGAAATTCTAGGCAGCCCTGGATAGCTGCTTTTATAAACTCCCCATGTTCCATTTTAAAGATGAGGAAACTGAGGCCCAGAGTTGTAAGTTTGGCAAAAGGGCTCTCCTGCCCTGGGCTCCCAGATCCGGCAGCAGGCTAGGGTGTAGAGCACACCTGGGCCTCGGCCCCACCCCCAGCAACTCGACTCCATGGAGAACCCTCCAGGGTGATGGATTTACCAGGAGGCTATTTATAGAGCGATTTCTGGTAGCCAGGTGTTGTATTCAGTGCTTAGCTTTCATTCTGTGCATAACAGCCTGCACAGATGGGTGCAGATGAGGAAACTGTGGCCCAGAGAAGGTTAAGCAACTTCCATATGGAGCCAGTATCCCACATGGGGTTTACCCGATTCCAAACCTGTGGCGCCTGGAATCTTTGGGGCGTACTTCCAAAGTACTTTCCCATCTGTGTTTGGGGAAAGAAGCATCATGTGCTGCTGCCCTCCCAGTAAGCCCACCCTGAAGCGAGGGGGCTGGCATCAGGGACCCCAGGGAGCTGAGCAGCCCCTTGTCCCAGTGCTCCTCCGTCTGGCAGTTTCTGGAGCCTCAGACCATTTTCCTGGGCAGCTCAATCATGAAACAAAACACCAGATGCCTTCCTTAAAGGAGATCCTGGGGGAAGGGATCTCTGACAAGCAAAGCCTCAGGGCTGCGGGGTTCCAGCAGGTTCTTACAGTTTTTTTGGGATCAGAGGGCCTCCCATCCCGCCAGCTCTGAATCCCAGGGAGCCCTGAGCTCCTGTGGCCATGGAATGTGCCACAGAAAGGGGGAAATGGAGAATGGGGGTGATGGGGACCAAGCTGCCTTGTCCAGAAAATGAGCCTTACAATGTTGTTTCAGGCTTTATTTTTACAAAGAAAAGGGTAATTGGCAATATGGACATCTTTTTAACAAGAGAGATGGAGCCCAAGGGTTGGGACATTCTTGGAGGTACAGTCTAGAATGCCGGAATGGAAAAGCTTGAATGTCCCAAAGCATAGAAACCACTAAGTTCCCCACGCATTGTTCAGATGAAGAAACTGAAGCCCAGAGAGGAAGATGCTTCCGAAGGACACACAGCCAGAGACTGGCAAAGCCAGATGTCCTGGTTCTCAGTCTTTGCCCATCCCATTCTTGCATAGAAGCATAGCTAACCAAGGGTCCAGGACTGCTCTGCGTGGGCTACCCTTGCCTCTATACTCAGGTGTACAAAAGTCGTAGCCCTCTGAGTGCTGCCAAAGGGACTGTGAATTTTAACATTGAAGGGTTGAGGGTTAATAGCGAGACTTCAGGGGTGAGGGCACAGCATGGCGAGGGGGGACTCACTCAGGCCTGTCACCCACTCGGGCAACTCGCTTTACCTCCTAGAGCTCTGAAATGGGAAACCTCCATCTCACAGGATGGGTGTGAATACTACCTAAGATACTAAAGGGAAGGTGCCTGTAAACTCCAGCGCACAGTGAAGCGCCATATAAGGCTGCCTGCCCACCAGGGTGGTCTGTCAAGCGCTGAAGTCCCAGCAGAGCCCTGGGGAGGAGCATGAGTTTTGCTTGGAGGGGAAGAGATGTGTTGTTCAAACATACAATTGTGGAGTAGAGCATAAACCTCACATCGATTATAAGAGAAAATATGATGCCTCGTGAACATTTTATGTTTGACTCCAGGTGCGCTTTCAAACCCTGGAGACGTGGTCACTCTATCCTGCTGTCTGGGCTGCTGTGGAGCATGAGTTTGAGAGCCTGTGCTGTGTCTTGTTGGTCCCTTGGGGGAGGGATGGGGAGGTTAAGGACCTCCAGTCTCTCGCTGAGTGCAAAGGGTTGTGAGGAATGTCTAGCTGTGGTCTACTGTTCTGAGTGGAGTAAGGGGGGCCTGGACCCCAAATTAGAATTGACTGATAAGAGACTTCTGTTAACGTTGGTTCACATACAGTGCAATTCAGACCATCTGCATTGCAGTGAACTGACCAGTCCCTGCCCCTTCCAGAGTGGTCCTGGGGGACCCTGGGGTAGGGGCTTCATCCAGGACTACAGTCCAGGCTTGGAGTAGCCCTCAGGCTCCTCTGCCAGGAAGCTGCCCACAAGAGAGATTTAGGACCCTGCCAGGTGGTTGTGTTGGCCTTCACTCTGTCCAAAGGTCTCTACTAGAACAAGCAAACAGCATTCAAGGAGGTCAGAGTACCCTGAGAGGAGAGGACGGTAGGAGTGGGGCAAACGGCCACGTGGTGTGGGGTAAAGAAGCAGAATCCAGAGTCAGCGAGCTGTGTCCTCAGCCCTGCCACTCCCTCGACTGGGTGACCTTGGACAAGAGAGGTTACTTCTCAAGACCTTGGCTGCCTACTAAGAGAGGTTCTTAGCATTCCTCAGTGTGTTCACCTCCCTGCCATGCTTATGATTTCATTCTTTCCTATTTCCCTTGGTTAAGACCCCTCTGGCCTTCTGTTGACTACATCTTTGGAAAACCCAAGGTCAGCAGGAGGTTCCCTCTGTAGCCATAGAAGTTTATAAGCCACCTTTCTTCATTAACAGCTCTGGTCCAGAAAATTTTTCATAAGGGATTTCTATCCTAGAATTCAGCAAACTTTATTGAGAACTGAACTGCTCCAAGAACTGGCTCCATCAAAGAAAACAGAAGAGGTGAATATGTAAAGAAAGAATTCCAGCTCAGCATGGTGTGCAGTGAGAGGCCTTTGTCTGAGGGGCAGGGCAGGTAGTAGGGAGAGACGAACAAATTGCCCAGAGCTGTCAGCTCTGCTTGAGCCCAGCATTGCAAGGTGAGCAGGAAAGGAATATTCTAGGAGGAAGAAACAGCTTGTAAAAAGATGGGCACTAGGCACATGAAAAGATGCTCAACATCATTAAGCATCAGGAAAATGCAAATCAAAACCACAATGAGCTATCATCAGCTCACACCTGTAAGAATGGCTGTTATCAAAAACACAAGAAATAACAGGATACGGAGAAAAGCGAACCCTTGTGCCCTGGTGGGAGTAATTAGTGCAGCCATTAGTGAAAAGGAATCCTTGTGCACTGCTGGTGGTAGATTGTATGGAGGATCCTCGAAAAATTAACAATAGAACTACCATGTGATCCAGCAATTCCATTTCTAGGTATTCAAAGAAAATGAAAATAAGAAAAGATATAAACACCTTCATATCCACCACAGCATTAGTTACAACAGCCAGGGTTTGGAAACAACCTAAGTGTTCATCAGTGGATGAACAGATAAAGAAACTGTGATATATATGCATATTGTGAGATATATATCTGTATGTAATAGAATATTATTCAGGCATAAAAAATGAAATATTGCTGTTTTCAATTATATGGATGACCTTCCTTCTATAAGTGGAATCATACAATATTTGTCCTTTTGTGTCTGGCATATAATGCCTTTAATACGTATCAAAATTTACTTTCTCTTTAAGGCTGAATAATATTCCATTGTATTTATATACCACATTTTGTCTATCTGTTCATTTTTGGCTATTGTGTATAACACTACTATGAGCATTACTGTACAAATACCTGTGCAAGTTCTTGCTTTTAATTCTTTTAAATATATACCCAGAAGTGGAATTATTGAATCATATAGTAATTCAATGTTTAATTTTTTTCATCCATCACCATACTGTTTTCTACTGTGGCTGCACCATTTGCATTACCTGTGGCAGTTAACAAGGATTCCATAAAATGATTTTGTAACATTTTTCCTGATTACAGTACACATTTACTGTAGAACATCAGAAAATGCAGAAAAGCAAAGTGTAGACAATAAAATCCCCTTTATTCTAATCACCTAGTTCTACATTTGACCTGAATGTATATTATCTCCAACAGGACGGGAAAGGGTCATTTCCCTTGGGATGATTCTATCGAAAAAACTGGAGCATGTGATCCAAATATAGAGCCAGGCCAGCCCCGCCTGACCTCATGGTTACAGCCCTCACCCTGGCTGTCCCACGACCCTAATCATAAATAATGTTCATGCAGTTAAGCTGACCTTTGAGTCATATTAGTGGGGTGTTCCTGGTCACAGGAAAGACACAGGGTAGTCACATTCTCTGTGGGTCTCCATCTTTAAAAGCACCTCGGGGTTCGGGGTAGGTAGAGCAAAACACTAAGTGCGCAGCGTGATTCGTCTAGAGAAACGCGTTCCGCACACGCACCATCTATCTACATCTTCAGAATCGACGTTTCCTTTTTGGCGTAGGGGGGACCGGAGGACCTGGGCCTGACTCAAAGATGAGCTCCTCCACCAGCAAGCAGAGGGCAGGAGCAGTTCCCGCCTCCTTTCACTCTTCCAAGTCCCCATTGGCTGATTCCTACCGTCGATCCGCCATGTCCCCGCAGTATCCTCCTATCACCGCCGCCGTGAGCCTCCCTGTCTGTACTCTCATTGGTCCTCTCCGCAGTCGCTCTGCGTTAGGAGCGTTCCAGAAGCAGCCACTGGGAGTCGCTGAATTCGGTTTTTAAAAAACGCCGGCAGTGAGTCAGCCTCTGTGCGGGCAATTTGAACACCACCCAGCCGCTGCACGCGGCCAGGTCGTTCCTGGCCTTCCCCTGCACTCCAGCCTCTTCCCCTACACCGCGAAGGCCAAGAAGGAGCTGCGGGGCCGCAACCCTGCGCGCCCGCCAT